AGCTGGCCGGTCGGTTTGGTAGCTGACGGTTGGGCTTCTTCATCCCGTCCCGTTTTTCCCGGACGGTTAAAAAGGCCCGGGCTGGGGGGCTCTTAGTAGGAAATATCCCGACCGACATAATTTTACCCCGGCTGGTATGCCTTTGTCTTTTTCTTCTTGTCTTTGCAGGTAACAGATCGGGCTTCTTGTGAAGAACCCGGTCGGACCCCGACCGGGAGTTGCCCGAGCGACAGTGTCGACCACCGAGCGGTAGCCCTTTGGCGAGAGAGCTGACAAAGGACACGTGGCGGTTCCTTGCGACGACAGACAGGGCACCCGGGAGGATGACACGTAGTGGCTATGTGGAGAGCATGCCGAACGACCGGATTTGTGTCTCTGGCGCAGCGGCTATAAATACCCACAGTAGCTACAGTGTGAGGGACTTTTGGACGATCGATAGGTTGTTGTTAGAGAATCCCGACCGCAGTCAGTCGGTACTCAGAGCAACCAAGTAGATTGTACTTAGGGCCTTCACCGTGATCAATAAAGATATTTACTTGCTTTAATTGGTCTCGAGTGTGTTTAATTATTGCTTACGTAGTAATTAACAGTATCATATATATATATATATATATATATATATATATATATATATATATATATATATATATGTAATACCTCCAATGGTCTTCTGAGTATTAGCAATTTACCAGTTGTGGTCATCCGAGTTTTAAATGACCTCCAATGGTCCTCCATGTTTTAAAAAATAACCACCCGTAGTTCTTTTAGGACGTCTTGTGGTCATTTTAAACTCAGAGTTTTTTTAAAAATTAGGACCACGAGTGGTTATTTTTTAAAACATGGAGGACCATTGAAGATCATTTAAAACTCGGATGACCACAACTGGTAAATCACTAATAGTCAGAGGACCATTGGAGGTATTAAGTCATATATATATATATATATATATATATATATATATATATATATATATATATATATATATATATATATATATATATATATATATATATATATATATATTAGGTTTAAATGCGGTTGGTGCGCCCAGGTGCGATTGTGTAGTTAAATCTGAACTATTGATCTTGCTTGAATCAACGTCCAGGATTACCAAAATTAAAAAAAAAAAATGCAGTGGTAATTTGGTAATTTTTGCATCTAGGACAAATTTAAGGTGCATGAGTTTTGTGCTTAAGGTGCGTGGATTTGTGCTTAAGATGCGTGAGTTTTGTGCTAAATATGCGTGAGTTGTGTGTTTAATGTGAGTAGTTGTTGAAACTTAAGTTGTTTGGTTTTCCTTGTTAAGGTGTGTGAGTTTTGTGCTTAAGGTGCGTGAGTTTTGTGCTTAAGGTGCATGGGTTTTGTGCTTAATGTGAGTAATTGTTGAAACTTAAGGTGCGTGGTTTTCCTTCTTAAGGTGCGTTGTTTTCCTTCTTAAGGTGCGTGATTTGTATGCTTAAGGTGCGTCAATCGTGTGAAACTTAAGGTGACCCATTTTAAAACCTTAGGTGTGTGGTTTGTGTTCTTAAGTTACGTTGCTTTGTTGTGTGCTTAAGGTGCGTGGTTTGTGTACTTAAAGTGAGTGGTTTGTGTGCTTAAGGTGCTTTGTTTGTGTGTTTAATGTGCACGACTTGTGTACTTAAGATGCGCCATTTTAATGCTTAAAGTGCGTCAACTGCACGGGAAGCCATCCACACACCTGAAGGTGTGTCGGTTTTGTGCTTAAGGTACGTGAGTTTTGTGCTTAATGTGAGTAGTTGTTGAAATTTAAGGTGCATGGTTTTCCTTCTTAAGGTGCGTTATTTTCCTTTTTAAGGTGCGTGATTTGTATGCTAAGGTGTGTCAATTGTGTGAAACTTAATGTGAGCCATTTTAAAACCTTAGGTGCGTGGTTTGTGTTCTTAAGTTACTTTGTTGTGTGCTTAAGGTGCGTGGTTTGTGTACTTAAGGTGAGTGGTTTGTGTTCTTAAGGTGCTTTGTTTGTGTGTTTAAGATGCGCGATTTGTGTACTTAAGGTGTGCCATTTTAATACTTAAAGTGCGTTAACTGCACAACCGTACGGGATGCCATCCCCGCACCTGAACCCTACTATATATATATATATATATATATATATATATATAAACATAATAAGCCTCAATGAAAGTTATATCCTTGATTTATGTCCCTCTCTTTGTATGCAAATAAATATGTACATTTTACTTTAAATGTTGTACATTCCAATGTTATTAGAAAAAACTACCCTTACACCGTTATAACACCGTTAGTTTTTAATTCTAACTTTAATAACACATCATTATTACCATACACCTACATCTATCATATCTTTTTCCTATTTTTAATTATCATTTTATTAAAATTATTATATATTAATTTAATACTTAATTATATTTTAATTAAGAAAGTATATGAACACATACTACAATGTAATAGAGCCAGTAACTTTCAAAAAATTATATTTTAATTAAATTTCTATGAATGATAAATTATATATGTGTGTACAAAATACATATATTATTTGTATATATATAATTCAAATTATAAATTTTAATTATTTGTATTTATCAATGTTTTAATATTGGACATGAATTTTCGCGCATCGCGCGTACACAATGCTAGTATATATATATATATATATATATATATATATATATATATATATATATATATATATATATATATATATATATATGTGTATATATATATATATATATATATATATATATATATATATATATATATATATATATATATATATATATATATATAGTAGGGTTCCAATGAGAAAACTTGCGTAGGTGAGAATTTGAAAACAAATCGTGTGCATCCATCTAATATTTTGTAATGGTCTAGATTTGATTAAGTATATGTGAACGTGAATTAAATGTGTGCAAACACACTTAATCGTGGTTGCACACATTTAATTCGCGTTCGCACACACTTAATCTAATCTAGATCATTAAAAAAATATTGGATAGATGCACACGATTTGTTCTCACGTTTTCACCTAAGCAAGTGTTCTCATATGATCATATATATATATATATATATATATATATATATATATATATATATATATATATATATATATATATAATGGATCCTGTGTGAACACTTTCATAGAAGTGGAATAAGAACCAATCTCAGCTTTACATCTGTAAAAATTTGACGGATCTGATCAGATTTTTTTTTTTAAAAAAAAGGCGGTAGCTGTTTCGTAATTATCATCAACTCCACTGTGCAAACTTTAACACTTAAATACGTAATAATATTTAACAACTAAATATGCTAACCTAGTAAATTCTATAAAATCAACGAAAAAGCTAAATTTTAAATATACTATAAATGTTAGACCTTTAGTAGTAAAAAGTCAACCACTAGACCAAATAATATAAAAAACTCAGTCATAAAACTCTAAAATTGAAACCCTAATTGCAATGTACTTTCGCATTTTTGCAAGTGCAAACTTTTAATACTAAAAATACAAAATGTTAACACTAAATGTGCAAAACGTTAATACTTAATAGCAGATTTTAGTATTCATGTTTGCATAGTAAAGTTGGTGATAATGACTAAAATGCCACCGTAACTATTTTTTTTAATTATGATCTGGTGCGTTCAATTTTTTCCGGATGTAAGGTTGTGATTAATTATGATCCAACACATACACATATAGTAATTTATAAAGCTATTCCTATTTTAAGTGTATGTGCACGCGAATTAAATGTGTGCAAACACACTTAATCGCGGTTGCACACATTTAATTCGCGTCCGCACACACTTAATCTAATCTAGATCATTAAAAAAATATTAGATGGATGCACACGATTTGTTCTCACGTTTTCACCTAAACAAGTGTTCTCATATGATCTTTTTAAAAAAAAGCGGTAGCTGTTTCGTAATTATCATCAACTCCACTGTGCAAACTTTAACACTTAAATACGTAATAATATTTAACAACTAAATATGCTAACCTGGTAAATTCTATAAAATCAACAAAAAAGCTAAATTTTAAATATACTGTAAATGTTAGACCTTAAGTAGTAAAAAGTCAACAACTAGACCAAATAATATAAAAAAACTCAGTCATAAAACTCTAAAATCGAAACCCTAATTGCAATGTACTTTCGCATATTTGCAAGTGCAAACTTTTAATACTAAAAATACAAAATGTTAACACTAAATGTGCAAAACGTTAATACTTAATAGCAAATTTTAGTGTTCATATTTGCATAGTAAAGTTGGTGATAATGACTAAAATGCCACCGTAACTATTTTTTTTAATTATGATCTGGTGCGTTCAATTTTTTCCAAATTTAAGGTTGTGATTAATTATGATCCTAAGACATACACATATAGTAATTTATAAAGCTATTCCTATTTTAATTTACTCCTAAAATCCTAAAATCCCTAATCCCCTCAGGCTTCAAACTTTGCCACTGCAAGGCAAGTGGCGACTGCGAATCGCAAGATTGCGACGGGTTATGGCGAGGCGGCGACCAACCGGCGAATAGGAAGTGACCGACGACGAGGTTAGTGGTTCTTACTCTTAGGGGTTGTTTGGTTCACAGAATGTCACATTACCTTAGGGAATGTTAAATTGATGTGAATGTTGAATTCTTGAGAATGTTAGAATCCGGTGTTTGGTTAAAATTGAGATATGTAATATAAAGCTGTTTGGTTGAAGGGATGTTCTTTATGTTATAATAGTTACCATAAGTTTGTAAAAGAGTGAAGGGTAGAGTTGTAAAAAATGTAAGGTAATCTCACATTACCTAAAGAAACCAAGGGAATCACATTCCTTCAAAATATGAAAAAATCTTATGTGAAGGTTAAATCTTATTTCAAGAGAATGTTAGATAACTTCAACCAAACCATGAATGTTATATAACTTGCTAATAGATAACCCTTGTTATCTTAGATAACTCGAACCAAACGCCCCTAGCAGTCGTGATCCCAGGAGAAGTTCTGGACCAGGTTTTCTTCACATGGCTCTAAAATCACCCCGCCCCACCAGACTGGAGAGTTCTGGTGGAAGGATTATTGCCCGGTTGGTGTTTAGGTATTAATTTTGTTTCCAATTATATATAATGTTTCTTTGAATTTTGTACTGTAATTGTGATGGGCAACTTGTTCTGCTCGGAATACCGAATTCACAGACGGTTTGACCTGAAAGGCTCATCTCATGGCCGCACAACATGTAAACCCGAGGGAGAGATACCCGGGCCTCCGCCTCAACTCCCGAGTCCAAAGTTTTCTACTTGAAGATGAAGGACAATTACCATCGCTATTTGGCTGAGTTTAAGATTGGGAATGAGCGCGAAGAGGCTGCCGAGGAGACTTTGCTAGCCTATAAAGCTGCTCAGGTAAAAAACACAAAAAAAAAAAAGCATATTTATGTTTCTATGCATCTGGATTTAAATTCTCTATATTTTCAGTACTTCTCTTGTGTTGTTGGCATCATTAAGATAACAAGAGCTTTGAACTGTAAATTAGCTTCCATAGAGGATGATAAGTGTCATATGCTGAGAATCTATATCAGAAAAGGGTGATAAATGGTGATTGAATAGATCAATCTTGGAAAGAACATATTTTCAAATTAGTTTGCTGCAATTATTGAGTTGGTTGAAGCCTGGAGGTTTCTAGTGAGCTTTGGTGTTCCACTCAAGATAAATTTGCTTATGCAGTTGCAATATGTACCTACCATGGATACCCTATAGGATGATATGTTTTGTCTAAGAGATCGAACCCCATCTTCCTGAAAAGAAGATCCAAATTTGTATTCAAGATTAAATTAATAAATTAATAAATTTAGAATTAGCAACACAGCTGGAAACCTGTTTAGTGCTTGTGCAGTGCATAATGCATTCTCTATATATGGGATAAACTAATGGTGAATGACTGAAATCTTATTTGGTTTGATTTATTATATAATAAGCATATAATTTTTAATTTATATATTAAACCAAGATAGTTATTTTATAAGGTATTACAGAGTACTATTTTAAATTCCATAAATTTCAAAGACATAGGTTACTACATGAATTGGCAGCAACAGATGCATAAATTGCTTAATTCAACATTCATGATACCCTTAGAAGCTGTATACTAACAATCTTAACCCAATTATCTTGTTATGATTAATTAGAAGTATTGCTTTCAATGATTATTTTATGATTTTTCTTCCTCTCACTTAGTTTTTTGGAATTGATTCTTTGCCTATTTTCAGGGATGAACAAGTTGCAGCAGCAGTGGTTGCTGCAATTAACAATTAGTACGTAGTGTTCTGTCACTCATTTGGTTAATGTAGTCTTGATTTTATATAATGATTCTAATGATTTTCTTTTACATCGTTTTCTTGGCATAATTTGTTGTCAAATGGACAAATTTCTATAGGATATCATATTTCCCACAAGTAGCAATGAACAGACACATCTTAGAGACTTGGCTGCAAAATGTTCTTCACTGGTAGAGTACTTCATATGATAATTTATTTGAGTCTTAGTTCTGTTACTAAAATTAATGTACATAATGCCAGGACTTGTTGGCCTCTAGTGGATAATAAACTAAGTGTTGTTAAATATTCCACACTGCAAATTCATATGAGATTGTCTATAATAAATTGCCCTTGTCTTCTTTTGGTTGTTCTTGATTCTCCATTATATTCAGGGACGAGTTCGAGTTTTAGCATTGATTGTGAAGTTATTTTCTATATATATGTGTGTGTGTATGGAATATTAAATGTTTTATTAATTTGGTTAATTTTAATGATGTGTTGATAAAGTTTGGAGTAGTGTCTGCCCTTAAATCGAATATTTAAGCTAATGGCATGGTGAAGTGTTGAATGTATAGGAAAAAGAAAAGTTGTAATTTTAATAAATTAATATATATATATATATATATATATATATATATATATATATATATATTAAAAATATAACACTAGGCGTCTGTTCCTTAAGAGGAGGCAAATTATTGTGTGGATCACAATAATGATTGTTAAGAGGAACATACGCCTAGTGTCTACTTAAAATTCACAAAATCATATTTTCTGCGTCTGACTAAGAACAGACGTAGAAAGTAATATTCATTGTAATTATGGTGACGAAATTGGCAATGGAATCACGACAGTGATTAGTTTTGTTATTTTTATGACGAAATTTTGTGACGGAATATCTAGCGATGGAATTACTACGAAAATTTGATATGTCATTTTCTTACGACGAATTCGTGTGACGGAAGACGAAATTAGAAACAAAAAAGTTAGCGACAAAATCGCGACGAAAATTTGTTTTGTCGTTTTTTTACGATGGAATGTTGTGACAGAATACAAAATTTAAAATGGAAAAGTTAGCAACGGATTTGCGATAATAATTATTTCTGTTGTTATATTTCATGATAGCACAAAAATGCTAAAAGCAAACCGTGATAGTTAGGTCCACGATGAAATATGTGTTGATAGTTAGGTCCACGATGAAACAAGTGTAGTGAAGAAACTTAATGGCTACAACATTTTTTTTGGAGGATATTCCTATTTAGGAAAAACCTATACTTCCAATTTGTATACATTGTGATAGTCAATATGTAATTGGAAGGATACAAAGTAACATATATAATGGTAAGTCTACACACATACGTTGTAGACATAATATCATTAAACAATTTTTCATAACGAGTGTTATCTATGTTACAATGTGAGGTCAAATGACAATATAGCGGATTTGATAACCCAAGGATTGAGTAAAGAGTTGGTAGAGAAGTTTTCACTTTTCACAATGAAGGAACTGAAGCCCTTGGAACAAAAGTTCTGTAGTGAATACCTGATAGGTGCCAAAGATGCTACATTTTGTGGCGTATTTTGGAGGCATATTGTGCTTTAATTGAAGTTCTTTTGAGATTATTATATACTTAGAATAGCTTATTTGGACTAAAGTCAAGAATAAGAACTAATTATGGTTGCATTTGTGAAATAAAGGAAAATATGCCATTTCAACGGCATTTTAGCACAGTTTGATATTTTGATCATATCTTGAGGTAGGAAGTCCCATAAGAGGTGATTCAAGTGACATTGGAACTGAAACTCAAATGGTTACAACGTTCATGAAGACCACAAAGTCTAACTCGGACACCTTAAGAGCCTTGCACGAGTAGAATCACGAGTGCGATTATAGTTCTGTGCAGAATTCCAGAAACTTGTACCATGTGATCCACGCTCATGTCGGAGCTCATGAAAATGTTCCGTAAATCAGCCTTAATGAAGGATTGAAGACTATATAAGCTTATGAGGTCATGTTGGAAAGGGGGGCACCTTTAGACTTCATTTTAGATCACTTTTTCAGAGATTTACTTGGTACTTTAACTCTTATAGAGAGAGAGAGAGAGAGAGAGAGAGAGAGAGAGAGAGAGAGAGAGAGAGAGAGAGAGAGAGAGAGAGAGGAATTCTCTTATAGAGAATTTAGGTCTCAACTTGACAAATTGATTCCTAAGGCTTGGAGGATTCTTGCTTTGCAATTGTTGAAGGATTTGAGCTGAGTTGTTCTTATTACTTTGAACTACAATTACTTGCTTTCAATTATAATTCTATTGCTCTCAATTACAATTCAATTGCTTTCAATTACTTGCTTCTATTTGCTTTTACATGCCTTCAAATTACTTTGATCATGTGTTCATCTACATTTCATTGCTAGAATGCTAGATATACACATGTTCACACAATTTGTTTAATAAAGTGCGTCTTCAGTTTCTAGCCTACTTAGTGTTGTTATTTTTTGTTTTTTGTTTTTTGTTTTTTTTTTGTTTTGTTTTTTTTTTTTTGAAAACACTTATAGTGTTGTTATTTCTTCTTATTTTTCTTATGCTCTGGTATCAAGTGTTGTGACCTAGTTTTCTATTACAATTGTGTGCTTGTATTTGACTGCACACCATTCAATTCTCACAGTCAGCCCTAGAGAACGACTTCCCGGGGAATTCATATTCCTCACACTTCTTTCCGCCTCACGCATACTACAATTGTTAAAATGACATCGTTGCCGGGGATATCAACGGTTTTTACTATTGTGTTCATCTCGGGATAACATGAGCAAGCTCTACAGAAATCGGCTCTAAGTGACTTACAGGCCGACTCCCTTTGTTCCTCCACCGTGTGAAACCCCCTGAGAACTCAAAGTTCATTCCCTGAGATGTTGTACTTCTTGTTGAATAGGGTGAATGAAATTGATGGCTTAGAGTTGTCCCGAACTTTGTAGTCAGACTTGAGAGTGGCCACAAATTCATACACAAGTGGTCCATATGTGTCCCCTCTCCAATTGAAAACACGGGACCATTGAGGATGGGAAAGCAAATGGGCAACCTCCTCTCGGCACCCATATGAATCAAGCAATAGCGTGTCTAGATAGTAGCCACCCAAAAGCTCTTTTTTCCTTCAATTTTTCCACTTTTGCAAGCTCCAAAGCTCCCAATGCCAACCTACGGGTTTCCCGCAATTGGTTCTTCTCTATAGTCCTCCTCCGAAACATTCCAAGATTCATCATTCGTATCACTATTCTCTTCCACCCTTGGTCTTTTGCTTGAGCTTGGGTGATCATGTTTTCTCTTTTATGCCAACTCCTTTCTTCTTACCATTTTTCCTACAAAGGCTCAAACAAAGAAACTCCATTCTAACATTGATTCTACAAATATAGCATCATGGTACAACAATTTAACAATTCTCAAGATCAAAGTTATTCACCATTAACAAGTCACCACCATCATAAGACTAAAAGCATAAACAATTGCAATCAAATTAAACTCAAGTCTCAACATGTGTTCTCTCTCTCTCTCTCTCTCTCTCTCTCTCTCTCTCTCTCTCTCTCTCTCTCTCTCTCTCTCTCTCTCTCAACAACCCAACATCAATCAATGTTCAAAAATAAACCAATCATCATACATGAAGTCAAAAATTTGTCAATACCAATGTCTACACATTCATGGTCTCTCAAAGAATCAACAAATTCCAATTCAAGTAAACAAATTTGTCATGGATCATTCAAAGAACTCAAAGTTTCCAAAAAACAATCTTCCAATGTGTCATACAACATGAAATTCATCATTCAAGAATCAAAGCAAGTAAGCAATTTCACAATTCCATGATCAAATTTCATCAAATCACTTAATATGAACAAACCCAATTGAAAAAGTCCAAAATTCTAACCTAGGGTTGTTCATGCTCATTCAAATCCAAGAATAAATCATGCTATCTTCAAATTTCAACCACCAAAGTGTTATCATGTGTCAAAGGAATCAATCTCATCATACAAAAATCAACATAATTCAATGAATCACACAATCCCCACATTGGGTGTTTTAGAGATATAAACCTTGCAAATCCAAGCTTAAAGATATGAGGATGGAAGTTCATACCTTGGATTGATGTAAACTTGTAAGAATTTTGCTTCAAAGATCTACAAAGTTGGATAGAGAATGAGTTTGGGAGTGAGAAATTTCATACCTAGGGTTGGCTTTTTGTGGTGAGGGAAAAAGTGAAAAGGGAAGGGAAATTTAAACAAGATTTCCCGTCTATGGGCTCTGCACGAACACAGCCACGATCGTGCATGGATCGTGGTCTTTTTTTTTTTTTCCTGCTCTGTTCAAATCTCACTGCCACAATCGTGGCCAATCTCGTGCACAAACTTCAGCACCAGCCACGATCTAGCCACAATCGTGGTGCTGATCAGGGCCAAACATCTGCAGCTACTACGAACTCCCCCACAATCGTGGTGGTGATCGTGGCAAAACTTCAGCACCTAGCACGACTCTACTATGATCATGGTGATGTAAATGGTAGTGTTTCCCTTCTCCTTTTGCAAAATTGTTTCTCCCAATGTGCTCCAAACTTATGTGAATGTACAAAGCAAACTAAAAACACCAAAAATACAACAAAATATTCACAATTAAACCAAAAACCTTTGGTTGCCTCCCAAGAAGCGCTACGTTTAACGTCTTTAACCCAACACAATCATCACTTTCTTGTCAATGGACATCAAACCCCTTGGGTTGAAAGCAAGAATCACTCATCCAATACTTCCTCTATAGCAAATCTTCTCCTTCCCACAAACTTTTGGCCTTGGTTTTACCCTTCACATTCAAGTTTTCTTTCCTGGACTAGAGCAAACTTTTCCTCTTTATTGCCCACTAGGAGAGTTAGCTTACCGGTTCCCACATCTATAATGGCACTACATATAGCAAAAAAATGGTCTTCCAAAATTCAATGGTATATCAAGATCATCATCACAAACATCCTCAACCACAAAATCATCTAGAATGATAAACCCCTTGACTTGCACCAACACATCATCTGCTATGCCTTTGGGGGTACCGAATGGACCCATCAGCAAGACGGATCCTTAGACTTGTTGGGGTCAATGATATGGTGGTAACTGGTAACAATAAGTGGATGGCCACAAATGAAGGAATCACATTAATAGAAGCACCCAAATCGGCTAGTGCATTGTCAAATTCTAGGTCTTTGACCATACAAGGAACGACAAATGCACTGGGGTCACCCATTTTTTGGGGGCACCCCTTATGAAGGATAGCTGAACACTCTTCATTCAAAAAACTTTTGAAACACCACGTACTCACACTTTTCTTATGCTTCAACAACTATTTGAGATAACAAGAAAATCTAGGCATTTCACCAAGAGAATGTAAGAATGGCATATCGATGTGTAGCATACGCAAGAG